GCCGTTTGGCAAGAGAAGGGATTGCCTAAGCATCATCTTCTGTCTCCTCTGTGCCATCAGTGGCAACCAGCTAAATCAAAGTCAGAGCCAACGCACCCAGAGAAAACTTGGAAATTTAGGAGATGCCACACCGTCGTCGCCCCACAGCTTCTCAGGGAAGAGCCAGGAAGGAAAAGGACCATTTTGGTGGTTTAAAAAGGCAGGGAGAGACAGGGGAGAGCAAATACCTCATAAAAATCATGTTTAATTATCTACTGGCAAGCAATATATTCACCCTTTTTCATCCAGTCCTCACCCCTTGGTGCCCCCCGAGCCCTCTGGCCAGAGTCCCAGAAACCAGCACACAAGCACCTGAGAAGGACAGGGCAGCGTGTCGGAGCACAGCATGCTGTAAAACGTGGCTTCAAGCCACAGAAATTACAGAAACATTAAATTACAGTCATGCTCTGATGACTTCAGGGCTACACAGACCAGAAGGGACCTGTGCCCAGCTACTCCCTACCAAAATTGTTTTGGCATTTATTAGACCCCAGGGTAAAACCACTGAACCCAACGGGGATTTTGCCCATGCTTACATGGAGGGCATCAGAGACTGTAAATATTTGGGTGTTCAGTGAATGACAGGCAGGAGATGTGAGGGATGAAAGGAAGGGATTGGGGATTTACTGCTGTTACTAATGGCCATCGTTTTAATGTAGGACTAACGACCCCCCCAGCAGCCCTAAGCACAGCCCTTTGCCCGTGGGGCCACTGAACCAGTGGTCACTAGTCAAGCCAAAGCCTCCCGATGCATAAATACTTCAGATTGGTCCCCGAATTCACAAAACCAGACGTTTTTACTGAAAATTGGACACTAAGAGGCTGTGAAGTATAAAGTTGAAACAATGAACCAAACGACAAATGGAAAATGCTCTTAGGAAAAGCAGCATATGAGCACCTTCACAATTTGTGACATTTGGGTTTTGGGGTTGGTTTTTTGCTAAATGAATGAGGCGATGCTGCAGGCAGGCACCACTCTGGCTGGCAGAGCTGGGCTGAAGAAGGCTTTGGACCTCGTCATCCCTCTGCTTCCCTCAACTCCTTCTTTGCCCCACTTTGCCTGCATTTACTTACAGCATTGAGCAGACAACCATCTACTGGGACGTTATGATGGGACAAATACAGCCCTATCCTGTCCTTTCACCCTTATATTATTTCATCCTCACCTCCTCAGCTGATGGCGTGCTTTCCATTAATAAAACCTAAACAATTTGCCCAAAACCTTTAAGTCATATTTGTGGATATCTCCTCCCTCTACAGATAATTCAGGAGCTGCCGAGAGGTTTTCCTCTCCTGAAAAAACAACCTTGACCACTGTTGGGAAACCAACCAGCAAGTTTTTAATCCTCCCTGAGACTTTCTACATTTCACTTGCCAAAGGTCTGTGATCAAATGTTGGTGATGATCTTACACGGCACGGAGCATGAAAGGAACAGACTGATTTTCAAGTATTTTAAATATCTCATATTACATTATATTCACAACGTAAAAAGTACAAAGAATCTCTTCATTCTCCCCAAGCAGAGCTAAAAACGTGGACCAGAACAGAAGTTTAGCACCTATTACCCTTTCATACAGTCACAAACACAGCGAATACATTCAGAATGGCTTGGGGACAAAAGCAGGGACTTCAAAAAGAAAATAATTTTGCGAAGAACATACATGTATAAGCATACTCCTTTTATTCAGGATGGGGAAAAAAATATCTATTGCATACATCCGAATACTTATGAAACTGCATCTGATGAACGTGATGTCAAGTTGAAAAAAAAAAAAAAAAAGAAAAAAGCACAATGGAAATGTAAGGAAGAACACAAAAGGTTCACTATAATCCCAAAGCGGTTTCCAAGCAAACCTGTCAGCTAGACATTTTGAGTTCCATTTCAGCGCTAACTACAGCACATATTTTAACGCCATGCCACTGCTCTCAATTAAGATCAAAACCAAGTTCTAAATTTTTTTTGGTTTAGTGCTTAGGATGGGAGGGATGATTAAAAGAAACCTGAACAATTTTAAGAAAACACTGGAGAAGAAATTAATTTCTTAAATTAGCAATGTGCGGTGGCACTTCAAAACCCCAGAGAATCAGAAAGGATGCCTGCAGGTTACTCCTTGTGGTACCAAACAGAGCAAATCCAATCAGACTAACATGCTGCAGGATCAGTCAGGCAAGAGCCACGGGAGCGGCGTTACAAAGGGAAAGATATAGAAAAAAGAGGATTTTCTAAACCCATTGCACTGGCTTGAAACCGAGCTATTCCCCCCCAGAGGAGATGACAGCCTTGCTGGAACAGCCCTGCAGAACAAGCTGTCCAAAAAAACCCAACAAAACCCTCAAAGACAACACAGAGGAAAACTAGAAAAAAAAGTTTTAATGAGAAATTAAAAATCCCCGTAGAACATCAGGGCTGCAATACTGCATTTAAAATAACGCCTCTCCACTCGAAAGCCTATTGCCCACACAGGCGTGTAAGCAAGCGGGTCAGTTTTGCCACGCTAATTGGTAACTTCTCATCCTTAACAGTGCCTTCGTAGATCCCTGCTTCACATTTGCCCTTGCTTAAAATAACTATCTGTGGCAAGAGCACTGACCATCGGAGGTAAGTGAATGAACAAGAAAGCCGGCACGCAACCACATTGAACGCGATGGCAGCAGTTATTTCTGAGTGTGGGGACAAACAGAGGGAAGAATATGGTGATCTGCATGTAAAATACTGAGTGACCTCAGCAGTGGACAGGAACTTCCATTTGCCCAGCCTTGCAAAACAAGAACAAGCCAGTGCTCGAAGGATTAAAAAGACAGCAAATAAAAAATATTTAAAAAGATTTTTTTTTTTTTTTCCTCAGCAAGCGATCAACTCAATACGTCATAGAGGCCAACTGCTTCGTCACGATGGAAATTCATTGCTTGCCTTGAAGATAAAATGACCATCAAGCCACATGAAAAGGAATAAAATAAGAGGTAAGACAACAATAAGTAGTTTTTCAAAGGAACATGTGTGCTTCTGAGCGGAAGGTATCACCTATTTATCGAGGTAAGGTGCTTTGATGGGGGTACGGTTAACCCTCGCCTGAAAAAATCTGCTCTTGCTCCTTTTAAGTGGCAGGATGGAATGTGATGGACTACAGCTCATACACTAGGTCTGTTGTTATTTTTTTACATATGTATATATAGAAAAAACTATTTTATAATATATACATACTAAAAAAAAGTATTAAAAAAAAAAAAAAAGACACATCAAGCTTATATAAACACCAGGCTCCCAAAAGGGTTTTGGAAGTGAATGCATGTAGCTGTGTTATGCCAGACAAGCCCTGGAGTTCCCACCTTGCCACACTTGAGGCTTCTGGCAGCCCCACAGATTGCCCAGGGGAGGATTTGCCAAGTAAAACACAATTTTGGGTTTTGTTTTCTTAGAAGATGTGATATTTTCGGTGATTTAACAGCTACCTCGGAACAAATAAACAAAAAAAACCCACATTTTTTTTTATCCCAGGTACGATTTTTTGGATTCGATGTTTAAAAATGCTCCACAGTCAATCACATCTCAGAGGGCACAGAGGACCAGGGATGTCAAGACAAGGCCCACGGACGCCAAGCAGAAACTCCGTACACACACACATTTTAACATGGGCACACCCATTTTAACATAGGTACCTCCAGGAGAGACTCAGGGCAGGGGCCACTGCAGGAAAGCTCTGGGGGCAAAGGCAGAGGAGACAGGTCCAAGAAACCGAGCAATTGGTGCATTTTTTTATTTGCTGTTTGACTGCTACTATTCAGAGTAGTTGGTCAACTTCCAGTGCAATGCTTGAACAACAAAATAAATGTTTAGCAATCACTTTACAAGTGAAACAGCAGCATGACCCCATGGCATTTCCTTGCAGGAGCCTGAATTTCTACTTCAGGGTCCTTTGTTAAGATCTGAGACCTCATACCGATCTTCGCAGGGGTAAGTACCACTTTTCAGGGGTACAAAAGCAGCACCCAGCTAATTATGTCTCACTACACCAGGGGCATCAGCTACTCTGGCTCTCCTTGCACTGGGAAAAGGGGCTGGAAGGCAGGAGGCCCTCGGTGTTTAGAAACCGCTGTGTCTGGTGTCAGGAGCAAGCACTGTGTCCTTACCAGAAAGAGCTACTGGCAAGAAAACGTGGGTACCCAGGGGACTTCGGTCCCCAAATCCTGTTTTCTCACACACTGGAGTGGCACAGTGGCTTTCCAAATTTTGGCTTAAAGCTTCTGTTATTAAGCCCCAGAGCAGAAATCCCCATGGTTTGCCTCTTAACAGCTGGAATATACATCTACATCCCTTCCCGCCCTGCGTGGAGGTCTCTGACCTGATGGATTGGCACAGGGAGCCCCTCGCCCCAGTCAGCCACAGGACCCCCTGCTCACCGCGGCATCTGCCCCCGGGAACCTGGCACATCAATTCCACACATCCCAGGTGGTGCAGAACACTCCCCCAGCCAGGCATCGTCTCATGCCCAACTTCACACTTCTCCCCTGCCACCAAGCCCAATGCTGCCTGAAACTCGCTCGCCGCCAAATCATCATCACCAGGGATGAGTCAGGGGCTGAGACGATCAACACCTCGGCATCACCAACAACCCCCCCGCTCCCCTCCTGCTGCCGAGCCCTTTGACTTCAGGGCAGTTTTGTGTACACAGACCTCATCTCAGCCAAGCATTTTGGGGTCCCAGCAACGGGGACTGAATCTCTCTGGTGGTCTACCATTTCCCTTTACCTAATTTACCTCCCCAGCCTCAGTATCGCAATTATCCCCCAATTACCCACCAGAGCCCCTGCTCTTGGGCAATGCTTTGCAGCTGCCAAAAGCAAAAGCACAACTTCTGTGCTTGGAAAGAACAAGAACCTCTCCCCGCAAACCCTGGCGGCGGCCACCCCATTGCCCACCTGAACCAGCCGTGAAGGCTGCCCGAGGAAGACGAGGCGTTACCTGGGTGAGGTGCGGGTTGGGGTTGAAGCCACACTGGTTGCAGACTTTGCTGTGACACTGGGTGCAGGCATTGAAGTTCGGCTGGCCAGGGGAGGAGGTGAGCTCTGTCGTCTTGCATATGGGGCAGAGTGTGCTGCTCGGGAGGGGCGCGATCTGTGGGAGCGAGTAGGGAGAGGTAGGGGTGCTGCCCCGGTCTGGCGACACTGAGGGAGACCTCCCTGAGCCCTGGCTCCTGGCATCCACCTGCAGCATCCTCCGTGGTCCCTCTGCCGGTGGTCCGGGCTGGCCCTGGCCCCTCATCTCCCGTGGGCTGTGGGAGGGGGATGCCGACCGCTGGCCCACAGCCTGATCCAGCTGCTCTGGTCTCCTCAGCAGGCTGAAACACCGTGAAAAATACACAGAATAAGCCAGGTTTAGTATATTCAAGCGACACCAGTCAATGCAGAAAACACCTAAAGCGCCCTCTCGGCCCCCAAAGCCCCAGCTCAGCCAAGAAGGCACAGCAAAACCATGCTGCAAACCAGGGAAATTGTTCAGATCAGCAGAAGGACCCGCTTTACCTTACAAAATGAAGCGCAATTCCAGCTTTCGCTTACATAACCCAGTGGCAGGGATGTAATTGAATTATTCAGCATATTCAGAATTGAACTTTAAGTCAGAAAGCTGCACAAAAAGAAGTGCATGAGAAGTTTGGGGCAGCCTGGCCCCCTGCCAGCCAGGGGCTCCTCCAGCACAAACCAGCGCTTGAAGAGGCAGTGTCAGCAGGAGCTCTGGTTTGCAGATTGCAGGGCCCTTTCTGCAGGGAAGACAGCCAACGCACACTAAACCATCATCTCACAACCTACTTCTGTGAGTGGCTGTGAAACAAAAAGGCTGCAAAGAGCCCCTACCTGTTGAAGGAAAACCCCTCCAGGAGCCCAAAGGAGGACTACTTATACTTGCTCAACTCTCAAGCTGCGCACCGCCCCCGCCCCTTGTGCAAGTCACATGTGAAAGCAACTGAGGGCTTCTGTCCCAAGGGGCCACAGCAGTGGCAAATTAAGAAAGAAGGCATCAGCTCTGCTTTATTAATCACTATGAAAAGGAGAAGCATGGGGAGCAGGGGCTGGCTGCCCTCCCTCCCCAGCTGAACCCTCTTCTGGGTGATGGGAGCCTTGGCCAGGCAGAAAAGTAGCTGGGATGCATCGGGTGGCCAGGACAGGGCTATGAAACCTCCCCGTGGAACCCCAGCTACCCAGAAGCTGCAACACTGAGCTTGGTGTTGTGCCTGCCACCGGCTAGGCCGCGATCCCCATAGCCCACATAGGATGCTCAGCCCCCCACCACGCAAGCTCCCCACCCTTTCTCTGGACCATGAACTGTCGAGAATGAATCTGCAATGGAAAATGTTTATGTAATTACAAGGGGCTTAGGTAACAGAATCATCTGGTGCACGTGCTCACCAAATGTTTCTCAAAAAGGCAGAAGCCCTAACACCCTTACTACCTGTGATCTACAGCTCTTTAAGGAAAAATATTACTCAGAATCTCAAATTTAATAAATTGTTGATTTACCCAAGCAGGGCCTGACCTTATAAAGGTTTAAAAAGGGAACTTAAATGCATAAAACTAATGAAATTCAAAGTGCACGTTGCCACAGTAATAGGAAGTCAGATGAAAATAAATATTAAAATAGCGCTTTGGGAATACTTTTCAGCTGCAGATCGAAACCTGCTTCTCTGAAGGAGGAATCGCACAACAATAATAAAGCAAAGCAATAAGAGAGTAACCGATCTGCTCCAGCCTAAAAAAGCAAATAGCACCTGGCCCCGCACTAAGTCCCATTTGCACACCTGGCTCCTCCGACACGAATACTCGCACCCTGGGGGTCAGAATTGGGATTTGCCCCGACGCCAAGGGCTGCAAAGCTGCTGCCCCATAAAATGTGAGGCATCCATAGTTGGCGGAGATGGGAGAGCCCAGCCCCAGGCACCGTGAGAAAGCACTGCCAGAAAGCAAAATGTGTTCTCGCTCCTTAAATTTAATTCTTGTAAAAACAGCATTTATGTATTAGAATTCAAACTATCCTAATGGTGTATTAAAGAACATAGAAATAAAACTATTTTGAAAGGTTAATGTATAGACAATCAAATAACTTGTTTGGAACAAGAGAATGGTTGTTCCACTGCAAATTTCAAAATTCAATTTTTTTTTCCCCCCCCGTTTGATACAAAAAAATATTTGCCACGGAGTGGGAGTTCTGACTCCAAACCAGCTCCGACCACAGAAATACCACTCAGCTGTGGTTTCACTTCAGGTCAGCAAGAAATGGGAAAACCTTACAGCAGCAACCCCCAGCAGAAGCGTTTAGCACTATCTTAGCAGTTATCCCCGATTTGAACACGCCATGTACATCTCGTACCCATCTCTGAACCCTTTGGTTGCTGTTACACAAGCCCAAACTGTGGCTCATCCACTTTTTTTTTTCCCATACAGCCCTCTTTATCACCGCTACAACCAATAACTAGCATCGGGCTGCTAACCAGCTCCAAAGAAATTCCTCGCAATGCCACTAGATCGCTCGTTAACAGTTAGACTGAGATGTCTTGGTAAGGCAGGGTTTCACCCATCTGATGGGGGGCTGTGTTGATTTTGCACCGCCCCAACTGCTGAATTAGAAATGTTGGGCGATGCTCAGCCAAATGCCTCCGCAGGGTCCAAATGCAGCAGTGCTCTCACAGTTACCGACAGAGGTGGAACTTTTCCCAAGTGAGGAATATCGAGTGCGCTCGACCAAGCTTATTAACAATTATAGCGTCGAGGTTTCCATTTATTCTAGTCTGTCTATTGATGCTTTATCATGAGAAGGTCAGGCAGGCAGCTCTATTAATGTGCACACAATCACTAGCAGGTTGGGCACCTGGGAAGATGCCATTTTCTTCCTTTTTTTTTTAAATTGAAAAGCGATGGCTTTCTTCTTGCTTCCTAAAAACTCCCTCCCTTTTCTAGCACAAAGCCGGCGTGGCGTCAAACCAAGTCACAACACACCTCCTGCCCTGGTGCATCCCAGCCAGCCTAAGCGATGCCCACTGCTTGCCCAACCTTCTCCAAGTTTGTTGGAGCCAAACTCCTTGGATCATGGAGCATCAAACTGGCTGAAGCAGCACACGGCACGGGCCTCCGCTCTCTGCCAGGAGGAATACAGCATTGCAGCCTCCAAAAGGATGCAGGGTAGACCTGGGTCTGCAACATCGGAAGCCCAGGTTTCACTCCCAACCCTGCGGCATAGCCCTGGCCACCCCTCTTACCTTCCCCACGCAGTGAAAGAAGCATCTGCCCATCTCCCGATGTGGAGCACTGCAAAATACCACCAAAAATTAACCCTCGGCTCGGCACGAGAGAGGAAGCCAAACTACAAGGCTGCTTGCCCAGAGCTAAAAATCACCCTGAGAGATTCATCTGTGCCCAGGTCTGCTTCTCCATCAGATACTTCTCCTGATGAAAAAGAGGCAGAACTTTCCTCGTTCCGCACAGGAGCAAGCACGGCTATGAAGCCAGCCTTCCTGTTCAGGGCTGGTGCGAATGTCCTGCCAGGCTGGGAGGAGATGGAGAAAGGACCAGGAGGGAAAAGCTGACTGAGATGATCAGAAACATGAAAAACATCGTGAACACCAAGGGTCAAAGCCGTTCTCCGCAAAATCGAGCTCAGCGGTGTAAGATGTCATGAGCACCTCACATTTTTTTAATGCCTGTTTTTTTCCCGTCCATAAAAAAGACAGCTTTTCATCGGATTAACAAGAATTGGGAAGGCTTTAAACACAAAATCCTATTTACAGCCAAAACAAACGTTAGACCTTTTTCTGGTTAATGTTTACTTCCAGAAAAAAAAAAAAAAAGACTTGTCCTAAAGCTAACTTTTGATGGCACGGCAGCGCCAGTGAGAAGATGTCAGCAGCTTTCGGAAAGATAAAAGCAATACAGTAACACAGAATTGGTTTACAACCCCGTTCCAGTAAACTGGTACAGCCTTCTTATTTGAGAATTCCTAGGTAAAGCCAGGGCCTGCAGAGGGAATTGCTCTGATTTCTCTCAGGTAGGTTCACTGGCAGCACTAAATTTTACAGACAAGACCCAAGCTTGGAGCCAGCATCCCAAGAGGTATCAACAGGTCCTTTTTCACACAAGATGCTATCTTGGGAGCAATAACCATTGCAAGGTAAACGCCAACACTGTTAACAACTTTGCTATAGAATCGAGTAATGATGATATGACACAAAACCGACCCGCATGGCTGTTAACTCAAGTTGTCTTCAGGCGTGGCGTGAGGAATAGTTCGAGAGAGAGCACGCATATGGGTTTTCTCCTAATTTCATCACGTTCCCTCTGTGCACACGCTGGCCACATCCATCTGCTCAGCTGCCACCCAGTGCCGGCAGCGCTCGCATCCACCGGGGCTCAGCATTTTTGGTCCAAGTAAATCCTTCAGGAGCCACAGCCCTTTTGTGCAACTGGGAAATGTGGGGTTGCATCCCTTTCTCTGCCTGGTGCCAACTGAAATCGGTCCCTGCTCACTGGGCAACCGATCTCATTCCTGCATTATTGCATAGGAATAAGAACATGAAAACAAATGGCACCATTGCCTTCGTTTTACAAAGAGTAGTCCCTGCTCAGGCTTCCCAGAGAGGAGCTGGGTTTGTCCACGGAAGGGAGCTCCTAGCTTCCCCTCCGTAGCAGAAATAAGCAAAATGGGAATGAGCAAGTCTCTGCTATTAGTAGAGAAAGAGGGAAAACAAATGACCCCTCACCTGCAGCAAAACCAAGGGTTTGAGAAGCAAACAAATCAAGACAAAGCATGAAAAGGGAGAAGATGTGTAAACCCTCACACCCAAGAGAGGGAGGCTGGGTTAACGAACAGGAATTAGAGCTGCTTTGCGACGAGCAGAGATTTGACCTACTTGGTTCGACTGAAACCCGATGTGAACACCCACATGACTGATTTTAAGAATCACTGAATATAATCTATTTGGAAAAAAAAATAAGCAAAAGGGGAGTTGTACCCGAGGTCAAAATGGCACAGGGTTTGACTCAGAAAAACACCATTCCTAACGCCCCTGGCTCGGCGTAGAAGCTGCGTGGGATAATGTCAAATATTAGCCCGTATATACTGCCTATTAGCAAGTCAGACTAGAAAATAGGACTCTCAACCTTTTAATAAATAAACAGAAAAAGAAGTGTCTGATGTGGAGGGCCTCCGGTTTCTGCTATGTGCACCGAACGTCTCACACCAGCCATGCTAAAACATCCACCGAGCCTGGGAGTTTTACAGGTGGCAGCTTTGTAGCTCTAAAAGCTACGCAACACGAGGAATCCTGCATCAGGCTCTGCTTTGGCAAGAAAAAAAACCAGCAGCAGTTACAGAATTAAAAATCAGCACCTGCTTATATCCGAGTGCCCCTGGCTTCATTACATTTACATCCCCACAGGAAGGTTGTGCTGGAAACGTGTACCGGAGGGTTTAAAAACAGCGAATACCAC